CCAGAAGTGGTGCTGTGGCTCAAGTGGTAGAGCGCTAGCCTTGAGCTGAAGAGCTGAGGGACAGCACCCAGGCCCAGAGTTCAGGCCCCCATGACCAGACCCCCCCCCCACAAAAAAAGAAAAAAAGAAAAGTGACAGCTATTAGTAAGAGTCAGCACTTCTGTTTCTCACAGTAAGGCTAAAGTAGAAAGATGCCATTAATAACCTCACCTCTGAGAAAGAAATCACTGATAATATGAGTAGTATCTTTAAAAAGTCTTCTATAATACATTATTGAGCTGGCAAGAGACTAAACATGAATAATGTTGGGGACGTAGATATTAGTTAGCTTTAATGCAAATTGTGGAATTTGGCCAGATTGGAGGGAGGGAGGGAGGGAGGGAGGGAGGGAGGGTGTGTGTGTGTGTGTGTGTGTGTGTCTGTGTGTGTGTCTGTGTCTGTGTCTGTGTGTCTGTGTGTGTCTGTCTGTGTGTGTGTCCTGGGGCTTGACCTCAGGGCTTGGTCACTGTTCCTGACCTTATTTTTGCTCTAGGCTAGTTGGTGCTCTTATCTTTGAGCCACAGATCCATTTTAGACTATTTAGTGGGTAGTTCCTGGTTTCTAAGCCATCCTCAGAGCTCAGCCTTCTGAGTAGCTAGGATAATAGGCATGAACTATCAGCACCTGGCAGAAACTTTACTTAAAGTATCATGTGGAAACAAACAAACAGAGCTTTGGAGAAGAGACCTCTCCTCTTCATAAAGCGAACACTTTGATATTTCAACTCTGTGTGCGTCCATCAGATAATAGGGAATGATACATATTTAGGAAATGATACCGAAGGAGGGTCTTTGGTCTTGAAAAATTTGCAAGTCAAGAATGTACTTATGCTAGGCACTGGTGGCTCACGCCTGTTATCCTAGCTACTCAGAAGACTGAGATGATCAAGAGTATCATGGTTAGAGACCAGCCTGGGCAAAAGAAGCCTGGGAAATTCCATCTCCAAAATAACTAGCCAGCCAAAAGCTAAGTTGGATGTGTGGCTCAAGTGCTAGAGTGCCAGCCAAGCAAGTCAAACAAGCAGAAGGCTTGAGCTCAAAACTGCCCATAACTGTCCCCTCCCCAACATGAATATACTTATAAGTGGTCTCTGATAGTATCTTGCAAAATCAATCAAGTCAAATCCTATTAGGAGAAATGTACCTTCAGCCTAGACTTCAAAAATCTGTAGATTAAAATTTCGTGAGCCACAGTGCCATTTCTGGCTTTTTCTGTTTATGCGTACTGAGAAATAGAACCCAGGGTTTCATGCATGCTAGACAAGTTCTCTACCACTAAGCCACATTCCCAGCCCAAGAAAGTTTATATTTTGTCATAGTAAATCTAGTAAGTTTGATTAATGAAATAGGAATCATAGTCAGACAAAGAAGTACACAAAAATAAAAGTTATAAAATATTACCACATCTAAAGAGTGAATGTGTGAATCAGAGGAGAGTAATGAAGGTGTTATTAAGAATGCAACATAGAAAAACAAAGGAAACAAGCTGGGCACCAGTGGCTCACACCTGTAATCCTAGCTAAGCATGATGAAACCTTTTTTTGGGGGGCGGGGGGCGGGTTGTGGGCTTGAACTCAGGGCCTGGGCGCTGTCCTTGAGCTTTTTGCTCAAGGCTAGCACTCTACCATTTTGAGCCACAGTGCCACTTCCAGTTTTTTTGGTAGTTTTATAGGAGATAAGAGGCTCACGAACTTTCCTGACTGGGCTGGCTTTGAATTTTGATCCTCAGATCTCAACCTCCTGAGTAGCTAGGATTATAGGTGTGAGCCACTGGCACCTGGCTTTAATATTGACAGTTCTTTTTTTTGGGGGGGGGTCTGGTCATGGGGCCTGAACTCTGGGCCTGGACGATGTCCCTCAGCTCCTCAGCTCAAGGCTAGCGCCCTACCACTTGAGCCACAGTGCCACTTCTGACTTTTTTTGCTTATGTGGTGCTGAGGAATCGAACCCAGGGTGGAGAGTGCAAGGCAAGCACTCTACCACTGAGCCACCTTCCTAGACCCAATATTGACAGTTCTTAACCAGATTTTTCTTTGTTTGGTGCTGAGGCTTAAACCTAGGTCATGGTGCTTACAGTTGGCTTTTTACAGTTGGCTTTTTCTGCTCAAGGCTGGCATTCTGCCACTTTAGCCATAGCTCTACTTCCAGATTTTTGGTGGTTAATTGCAAATAAGAGTCTCACAGACTATTCTGCCCAGTCCTTAGATCTCAGCTATACTATAATAGCTAAGATTACAGGTGTGAGCTATCAATACCCAACCCAGATTTTGAATTAGTTTTAGGCAAAAATAGCCCATTTCACTTTTCTTGCTTTGGTATTAAAAATGCCAGAAACAAATGCTAATTGAAATATATTTCTTCTTTTTAAAAAATTATTATAGAAGCCGGGCGCTGGTGGCTCACGCCTGTAATCCTAGCTACTCAGGAGGCTGAGATCTGAGGATCGCGGTTCAAAGCCAGCCCGGGCAGGAGAGAGCGTGAGACTCCTATCTCCAATAAACCACCAGAAAACCGGAAGTGGCGCTGTAGCTCAAGTGGTAGAGTGCTCGCCTTGAGCTGAAGAGCTGAGGGACAGCGCCCAGGCCCAGAGTTCAAGCCCCACAACCGAAAAAAAAAAAAAAAAAAAAATTATTATAGAGATGATATACAGAGGGGTTACATTTACATTAGTAAGATAAAGTACATTTCCTTTTGTACCATGTCATGTTCCCTCATTTATTCCCTTTTGTACCATGTCATGTTCCCTCATTCTTTCTTTATTAGCATAAATTAATTCCATAAAGAGATTTCATTTTCATTGTATATATATATATATATTTTTTTTTTTTTGGTCCGGTCGTGGCCCTGGCCGCTGTCCCTCAGCTCTTCAGCTCAAGGCTAGCCACTTGAGCCACAGAGCCACTTCCGGCTTTTTTCTTTTTGCTTATGTGGTGCTGGGGAATCGAACCCAGGGCCTCATGCATGCAAGGCAAGCACTCTACCACTGAGCCACCTTCCCAGCCCTGTTAGTTATATTTCGTTTATACAATGTACTTTCATCAGATTCACCGTGTGTGTGTGTGTGTGTGTGTGTGTGTGTGTGTGTGTACATGTACATGTACATGCTTGCCAATCCTGGGGCTTGAACTTAGGCCTAGGTGCTGTCCTGTAGCTTTTTATTCAAGGCTAACCATCTACCACTTGAGCCACAGCTTCACTTCTGGCTTTTTGCTCGTCAATTGATATTAGAGTCTCATGTACTTTCCTGTCTGGGTCTCTTTAGTAGCTAGGATTACAACAGACATGAGCCACTAATGTCCAGCCCATTATATTCTCTTAACTGTCTTGAAATGTAGTTTTTAATTTAGTCATTAATTTTTATCCTTTTCTTGAGTTCAATAAATATGTATTTGGACCATTTAAGGAAATGGTAAATCTTTCAGTTTCTGTAATAGAGATTACAGCTGTAATATTGCTGCATTATTTTCTAGTTCAATATGTTTCACAACAGCTAGCCAGCAGTGTAGACGTAAATGAAAGAGCTTGAATGAAAAGATCATTCTAAAAGGCAAAAGGACTACTAATTTGCTGGGAATTCTGTCTTTTAATATGATATAAATGTAAGGTGTCTCTTAACATTTTCCTCCTGTCCTTTTGCTGTTTCAGGTGCAAGTGAAAGTGTAGGAAAACATATGCTGGAAGCCTGCAACAATAATCTGGAGATGGCAGTCACTATGTTTTTGGATGGTGGAGGAATTGCTGAAGAACCCAGTACCAGCTCAGCAAGTGTCTCCACTGTCAGACCACACACAGAGTATGAATTTATAATTTATTGTGAGCAGCTACGCCTTGCCTAAATTAAGTAGTGTTCTATTAGACCAATTTCTAGATTTTGAAAAAAATTAAACATTGAAAACCTGGAAAAGTATCATCTGGAATATTTTTTTTTTGGTCGGTTGTGGAGCCTGAAGCTCTTCAGCCCAAGGCTAGTGCTCTACCACTTGAGCCACAACGCCAGTTCTGGCTTTTTCTGCTTATGTAGTGGTGCTGAGGAATCGAACCTATGGCTTCATGCATGCGAGGCAAGTGCTCTACAACTAAGCCACCTTCCCAGCCCCTTCATCTGGAAATTTTGTATACTTATATACCTCAAATTCTGTAGAGGACTGTCTTGCCTATTTTTTAACCCTCTCCCTTATTCAAACCTCAAAAGAACTGTGTAAGTTCCTTTAAAAATCTTAGAGGTTGTGCTTGTTTTGACAGCACATACACTAAAAATCTTAAGAGGTAAACAAGTGGCAGAGTGGAAGGTTGAACTACTTTGTTAGAATTGGCTTTGTGGTTGGGAAGTAGGGCCTGTGTACCTCCTCAACAGTTAAATCCAACAATAAGACGAACTTTACAGGATCATAGCCTAGAACATTTGTACTTGTGAGACCCTTACATTCAATCTCTAGTAGATCCTTCCCCCCCCCCAAAAAAAAATCCTTATTGGTTGGCCTTATTTATGCACATTATAACCTATAAAACAGCAGGGATAGAACTGTTTACCAACTACATGACAATTAAATGGCAGCTATGGAAATGAAGTGTAGTGAAGCTCTTATTTCCCACTTCTAGACTTTCCTACATTGTCCTGGAAAAATGAGTTGTCATGAAAATTGTGGAAAAAAAATTGAAGTTATAGCTGGGAAGGTGGCTCAGTGGTAGAGCACTTGCCTTGCATGCATGAGGCCCTGGGTTCGATTCCTCAGTACCACATAAGCAAAAAGAAAAAAGCCG